GGTGAGGCCCTGGCACAGGTTGCCCAGAGGAGCTGTGGCTGCCTGTTTTGGTTTAGGGCATCCCAAGATACTGCCCCATCCCTGGAAGTGTTCAAGGCCGGGTTGGATGAGGTTTGGAGTAACCTGGTCTGCTGGAAGGTGTCCCTGCCCATGGCAGTGAGTGAATCTGCATGAGCTGAAAGGTCTCTTCCAACCTAAACCATCCCGTCGTTCCAAGAGTCTGTGATTCTGTGATCCCTGTGGTGTTGTGGAATGTGGTGTGGGACCGAAGGAGTGCTAACACTCAGAGTTTGTTGCTGAGCTGCAGTTTTGTGCCTCGTGTTCCCCCTGGGCACGTCGCCCCTGCCAGCCTGACCTTGGGTGAGTGTCCGGCAGCTGCGGCTCCAGCCGGCTCTGGGGAGCTGCAGCAGGAGCAGGACCTGGCGAGTTTTGGGTGGATCGTCCTTCCCCACCGGCAGAGCCTGCTTTGAGAGGAGCTGGGTGTGCCCAAATCTCTTCCTCTGACTGAGGAAGCCGTGGTGGGGATCACGCTGTCCCTGCAGCTCGGGCACGGCCGCTGTGCTGCAGCCACACCGTGAGGCTGCCTCTCTTCTGCTCTCCATGGCCTTCCCACCTGCTTGAGCAGCAGGGATTGTTTTTTAATTAATTTTTTGTTTCTATGAACACTGTTACAGGCTGGGGAGCTGCAGCTGCTGGCTCATTAATGAAGTTCTCTGCAGAACCGTGGCAGGAAGCGGTGCTGGACCCTTGGCTGAGCTCGTGGTTTGACGCTTTTCCTTCCTGCCCTTCTCAGTAAAGCAAACTCACTTTGCTGTGCTGTGGCTGCCCCACCTCAGCCCCTGCTCCCTCCATGCTTTGGGTGCTTTTGCTTTGAGGGTTGGGCTGTGGTCTCCCAGGCAGGGTCCTGGGGAAGGATCCTGAGTCTTGTGTCCGTTTCTTTGGCCGCAGTGGTTGGAGAAGGCAGAGATAGCGAGGTCAGGAGTCTCAGTGATTACTGTTTGATAAGGTTCACTGATATTTTATCAGTGGTCTCTGGGGACAGAAGGAAGTTGTGAGTTAAAAACATCTGTCTTGCAGGGCCACATGCCCTCTGAGTGCTCAGTGCTGGCTGGGGATGGAGCTCAAATCCTTGGAGATCCCAGTCTCTCCTTACTGCCAGTGCCCACAGAGGTCTTGGCTGTTCTTTGCTGTTCTCTCAGAGCCAGTCACCTGCCCAGCACTTCACCTGGGATTTACCTGCTCTCAGGTGGTTCGTGCTGCTCCTTGAGCAGGGACTGAGCTGTGAAGGGCTCCTGGCAGCACGGAGGGTGTTGTGTAAGACTGGGTTCTGTGGATTATTGAGCATTTGTGTTTCTTGGCAGGCTCCTGAGCCCATCGTGGCGTGGAGTGATGCACTGGTGGCTTTGTTGGTGTTTTTCCAGCTCTGCTCCCCTTCTACTCCTCTCCAGCTCTGCCAAGGTCCTGGGTGGGGATGGGCACAGCAGTGTTGTGCAGTGGAAGGGGGAGGAGATGCCATATCCCACCTCTCTCTCTGGGAATGCTCTGGAGACCAAGTGTTGGATCCCAGAAATCTGGAGTTTTTGAGCTTTCTGTGCTTTCAGGCACAGACCCCCTGGAGAACACTGCTTTTGACCTGAGGCCTTGGAAATGGCTTCTAAATATGAGTGGTGAAGTAGAAATCACAAGTGTGTGTAGGAGTTAGATAGGTGTGCTTTCACAGAGTGATGAGTTTTAAATTTGAGGTTTTTATAGTATAGTAATAGGTATAGGACAAGATAGAAAATTTTGAGCGTTGTCTCTTTCTTTGTTCATCTTCTTCGTTCTTCTTCATGGTTTTCAAGTAGTAGTTCCTATTTAGTCAGCATCACTCTAAGAGTCATGGAAATCTAGTTAAGTCAAAAGTATAAATAATATAAGTGTTAATTGAACTGTTTAGCCTTAAAAGACCTTGTAGCAGTTGCCTCTGTGGCCATTTTTTCCTTACTTCTTGCAAGGAGCTGGAAGTGCTGTCCTATTCCCTGTACTCTCTGGCCACTGAGGAGAGCAAAGATCAGCTCTCAGAGACCCTGTGGCACTGCACAGCCCTGCAGGCAGCTGGGAATGAAACGCTGGCTGAGCAGCAAGTCCTTGTGTGCGGGTCACGGGTCCGTGTCACCTGTCACGGGTCCGTGTCACCTGTGACGTGCCAGGTAGGGCAGTGGAGCGTGGCTGGCTCTTTGTGCACGGCTGTGGCTCAGTGAGGCTGTGTTGGGTGAGCAGCCATGCATCCAGGCACTGGGACTGGGGGTTTGGGCAAATCAAGGCATGAGATGTCTTAGATGGGGCTGGGGGCAGGTGCTGCTTGTCCCTGAAGATGCTGAAGTGCGCTGGGGTTTTGGGTCCCTTCTAAAATCCCGCATGTGAGTCAAAAATTAGTCATAAAATTACATGGAGAATATTCTAGAAGAGTGTAAACTGATTGACCACAAACACGTCAGCCAGCAACACTGGGGGAGAGCTTTGCTGAGGCAAAGGCTTCCTCAGAAACACCAGTGGGGCAACTGCTGCACACTGCTGAGACTGGAAAGGAAGGTTTGCCTGGGGACAGATGAGCATTTTAAAGTGTTGTTCTGAAGGACACAGCCCTCACTGCTGGGGTGGCTCCCTCACTGTGCACAGCTGCTGTGCTGGGGGTTTGGCTGGGGAGGTTCCTCCCTGTGTGGTCACAGTGGCTATTCCAGAATGACTGTCTTGAGGGCCAAGTGTTCTTACTATCACCCCTGGGAAGCTCTGAACGCAGGCTGGAGCCTTTGCCAGCCCTGGCATCAGCCCACCATCAGGAGGGGATCAGTCAGCCATGAGCCCCATCCTCAGCATGTCCAGCTGTGAGCACCAGCGAGGCCCTTGTGCAGTCAGGCCCAGACAAGAAAACCCCAAGCAGGTCTGGCTGTGACAAATCTTTTCCTTACAGAGGGGCTTTCACATGGAAGGGGAGCTGGAACAAACATGCCCGTTCCTGCCAAAGGTGCTGCTCTGCCAGTAACTGGCCTCTGCTTCCTACTGCAAGTGGTTGATGTGTGGAATTGGGGCTTCCTGCTGCCTGCTGACCCCTGGGCTTCTCTTTGCCCTGACCCTGGGAGCTGTTCCTCTGCTCCTGACCCTGCTGTCGGCAGCCACCACTCTGGCTCCGGTGTGCTCGGCGTCACAACTTCCCATGAGCCGGAGTAGCTGTGCCAGGAGTGAGCTGTAAATCCCTCAGAAGGCCGGGAAGTGCTTGGTTAATTAACCAAACTGAAGAGGAGTTGTTTGAACCATCTCCGGGAAGAGTTCCACCTGGCTTACAGCAAGGGTCTTGGATTTGGGACTGTCTTTTAGCCACAGAGCAGCCCAGATCCCTTTGTGCATCCTTGGATTCTTCCTGATCCATGGCTCTCCTCTGTGTCCTTCAAGGCTTTGCTTGCCTTGGCTCCTCAGAAATGCTGGTTTTTACACAAAGGGCCCTCTTTTGGTCTATGCCTGGGTGCAGAGTGGGCTTGGCTGTGGGGAGGGGCACAGGCAGACCTGGCTGTGCTGGATTCTCTGGTGGAAGGTAGATGGATGGGACCATGTAAGCTGACTCTGCCATTCCTATGATTGGTCTTCCACTGGGGTTCAGCATCTTGACTTTCAGACCAGAGTCTTTAATATTGCTTGAGGCCAGCTTTTATACCTGTTTTATAATATTCCCTGACATTCCCCACATTCCTGGCAAGGAGACTTCTGTGCTTTTTTGAAATGTTCCTTCGTCTCTTTGGAAAACTGCGACATCTTTTAAGACTTCTTCAAAATGCCATTTTCCTGCTGTCCTGGCATCTCCTGTTAGCTCCATAAAGAATGGGAAGCCTTGAGTTTCAACTCCAGCCCCAACAACATCTCCTTCCATTTGGGAGAAAGGGGAACAAAGAAAGAGGCAGACCACGTGCTCCTCTTTGACTCAGTGACCTCCCTAAATCTCATGTCCCTGCTGTGTTTCCACCTCTGCCTGCAGGTTTCACTGCTCTCCATGCTTTTGGGATTATATTGGGACTGTTACCTGAGCTTCCATTGTTGTCACAGCCCGTCAGGACAGCAGGACGGGCTGGGGTCCCCCCTGGTCCCTGGGGCTGGGTCTGCAGGGTCTGACCTGCAAGGATGGGATGTTTTGCAATATTGTATCCCTGGATAGGGATGAGAGACCTGTGGTGTTTCTCACCGGGAATCAGAAGCAAGGTGAGATGATGCTCAGCTTCAGGGATCCTACAGCTCATTCTGGGAATGATCTGTGGTTTGGGAAGGGCAGGCACAGGGAAAGGGATTTTAACTGGGGAGACTGATCCTGTGTCAACCGCAGCTCTTTGCTTGGGCCGTGCTGACCCCTCTGCTTTGGGCTGAGAGGTGAGCTGACTCCTGCTGCATGGGGAAGAAGCATTCCCAGGGCAGGTGGAACGCACTGGGCTCAGGACAAACTGGAAATTTGTAGGGAATTGGGTGATTTAATCTGGATATCTCTGATTGCAGGCACTGATGTTCTTGTCCCTGAACCATCTTTTTTAGTTTTTAGTCCTCTTTGGTATCTTGAGGGACTGGGAAATTTATGACAGCCCAGCCTTGGCTCTCAGTTTTCCCATCCCTTGCAGCTCCTGCAATTTGCCAGCCGGCTGAGAAGAGCCTCAGCTTTGAGGTTTGAGTAGTTGATGTTTGATGATGAGAGGGGTTTTGGGGTGTCCATCCCTCTCCTCGGTCCCGGTGTACTGCCGGACAGTGTCAGACCCCACCGGCCCCGGAGCCGCCCTGCAGGACTCTTTGCTCTCAGTTTTCCCGGCTGGAATGGAAAGCTGCGGCTCAGCCGGCAGCACCGGGGTGCCGTGCTGGGCAGGACAGGAGCTGGGAGCCGGGAGCGGGGCCGGATGGAGCCCTCCCCGCCGCTCCCACCCCCGCTCAGCCGGGATGTCCTGTCTGCCGGGGCGGCGGGGACACGGCGGGGCGGCTCGGCTCGGCACAGCCCTGCGGGACAAACCTGCAGCTCTGTCATGGACTGCCTGCGGGAAGGTCTCTGGACAGTGCTGGGTGGCCGAGGAGGGCGTGAAGGAGGCTGCGGGTCATGCTGATACTTTATTCGGCATTTAATCCACGGGTTCCAATGAACAAAGCCGGGATTAACAGCTCCTGCCATGGTGAGTCTGCTCGTGTCCCGGCTCTGTGTTCGGATTGGGAGGCTCCAGCCAGCAAACGCTCTCGGGGGAGGTGGGAAAAGGCTGTAAAATGACCTTTTTTCTTGTTAGAGATTTCTTGGAAGCAGCGTTTCCTGTGCAGCAGGGCGGTTTGCTCTGGCTTTTACACAGCGGGGCGAGGGCAGGGTTCAGAGGTGTCGCTTGTGTTGTTGTTAAATTGTGGGGTTTCTTTAAAAATCTTTTCTTGAAAACCAGAATTTCCTTCACTTTTTTTCCCCATGAAGTGCTGTGTCCGGAGCGGGTGTGCCCGAAGCCCTGTGCCCGGCTGGGACACGGCGCTGGCACCGGGGATGCGGCTGAGCGGGGCAGGGATGGGACAGAGAGGGGAGATGGCAGTGACAGAGCACGGGCTGGCCTCGGTCACACCGCCTGGGGCTTTTCCTTCCTTTGCGTTTTTTTCCCCCCCTTTTTTCCTTCCCCGCTCTGCTCCCCACTGAAGGTGCAGAAGGGACCTGCAGTCCTGGCAATATTTGGGTTTATTTCTGCCACAGCGAGCTGAGCTGGTGGGAGCGCCGCCATACAGCTCCTCCTGATCTCCCATTGTTGCCTGAGCCAAAATCCTTTTGTGTGAGCCCAATCCCCCTGCCCTGCCTGGCATGGCCAGGGGTGCCATGGTGCAGGTGCCAGGCATGGCCAGGGGTGCCATGGTGCTGGTGCCAGCCGTGCTCCGGGATGTGGCATCACCTGCTAACACCAGTTCACTGATTTCAAAGCCGTTTTCAGAAGGAGGAGAGGAGAAATGAGAAAAGAGAGGGGTTTGGAGCTGTGGGGTGGAGCTGGAGCTGTGGTGAGCGATGCCCAAGCGGTGCTGGTGGGTGTGGGGTGCAGCAGGAGGGGATCCTGATGGGACAGACCTGTGAGCTGGTGACAGTCCTTCCCCTGTGTGCACAGACCTGTGTCCCGCTGAGAAATGTCCCTTGGCTGCGTTTGGAAACTCGGAGTTTGGGTTATGCCTCCATGTGTGGCTGTGCCTGGAGGGGTCCCTGCACAGACAGGGGTTCTGAGCCTGCACCCCTGTGAGCTGAGGGGGACCTCATGCTTGGCTGCACATCCTTGGGGTTAACCTCGTGAATTTTGCAGATCTTTCTGCTGTGGGATGGGATTTCAGGAGTTTAGCAAGGAGCACATGCGGGCACCCGAACTTCCCCTGGGCAGCAGGGACTGGTCAATAAACCAAAGCTGAGTGTGGTGGGGAAGGAGGCAGGATCTTGTGCAGAGCTGGAAAATACTTGATTTGGGTTTATTTTTGTATTGCAGCCTTTAAAAAGGGAAGAAGAGAGCCCTAAAGTAACCATTCATGTCTGCTGAGAATTCAGTGCCTGTTCCTTCCTGCAAGGGCTTGTGCCCATGCCAGGGCTGTGGCAGTGGCCACTGCTGCGTGTGACAGACATGGTCTGGCCTCCCTGTCCCTGGGGGCATGTAGGGCTCCCACCAAAGCTGCTGGAGCCTGAGCATTCTTGAGCCAGGAACAGGGTGGGTTTGTGATTCTGTACAACATGGAAAAAGCTGCACCAAGACCACAAGGGAATTCTGCTCCATGGGTTCCTCTGGTAACACACGTGTTTATGCTAAATAAATGCATAAAAGTAGGAGGGAATTCTCTCGTGTATTAAGGAAATAACTGCTCTTTAGTGCCTGGATTTAGCAGTAGGAGCTGGGGGTCGTTCCTCGGCGTGGGAAGCAGGAGAGCAGCTGCAGCAGGTCACATCCATGGGAGATGCAAGTGCTCCAGGGTGATTGGAGGTCCCTGCAGAGCCAGAGCTGCTGCTGGTTCTGTTTTTTTTAGCAGAACTGTTGGTGTTTTCCTTTGACTTGGCCTTCCCTGGCCTTGGGTGGTGGCTGCTGTTGGGTCTCGTGCAGCGCTGCGGACGTTGACCTCAGTCCATGCTGGGTTTAACGCTCTTCCAGGTGGTGAAAACTGGACTTTTGCTGTTGTCTGTTTAAAGAAACATGAGATGTGATGGCTCCTCACTGGGATTGCAGCCTGGCTGGTACCTGTGGTGGGTGGTGGATGCTGCTGGAGCTCTGGCACCACTGGCTGCCCTTGGAGTGACGGCGTCTGCTTGTCCAAACAAAGTGAGATACATGGGATGGTCAACAGGAAAACCCTGCAGTTTTAGGAAGGGTGGACTACAGGATGGGCAAGATGGATTAATTTTCTTCAGCATCTGAGTAGCTGTTTTCATCTTGCTCCTTGTGGATGCCTCATGACTCAAAGTTGGAGGAACCTGAGGTAGTAGAAGGTGTCCCTGCCCATGGCAGAGGGCCAGAATGAGATGATCTCTAAGATCCCTTCCAACCCAAACTATTTTGGGATTCTCTCCTGGATTTTTCTTTCTGGCTTCAGCAAACACCAAAGAGAAGGATGAAACTTCACCCCGAGCTTAGATCCAACAGAGGTGGCTGTGCTGGCACTGACAGAGCCAGAGACTCTCTACTCTGAGCTTGCTTTGCCATTGCATTTTCAGAGATGGAACCCCAGGTTCCCTCCATGCTGAGCTTCCCCCCCATGGACATGGGGGGGCTGCTGCTCTGTGCTCCTGACACAGTGGGATGGTCCTGCCCTCTCTGTTATTCCTCTGGGGTCAGAGCAGCTGCAGAAATGCAGGTGGGGGAGGCAAGGACGGATCAGGGTCTTCACCTTCCTGGCCCTTTGTTTCTGTTCCTCTTTTTCCATCCCTCATTCCCCCCAGACATCTGCTGTGCAGCTGCAGCCCGAGCAGTGGGACGTGTAACCCCCGAGCTGCCACAGAGCTGCTCCTGAGTGCTCTGGAGCTGCTGGCAGGAGGTGTCCTGCAGGCCAAAGGGGCTACAAGACTCTGAGGAGCTGCCTGGGGGAGCAGGAATCTCTAATATGCTGTAGGACACTCCTGTAGCCATCACAGCAGTGCCAGGGGACACTGACTTGGTCTCTGCCACCCCACCATGTCCCAGAGCCTCCTGGTCCTTCCCTCCTGGTGCATCCCGTGCCCCTGAGCGTGGCTGTCCCCTGTTCAACCCTGCCCTCTCCAGTATGTGAAGATGTTTTGGTGTGAAGAAGGGACTTGGGTTAGTGGTGGCCTTGGCAGTGCTGGACTCAATGATCTGGAACAGCTTTCCCAGCTTAAACCATTCCATAATTCCATGATCCTGTGCGTCATTTTGTTGTGGCTAATGTGTCTGCTGCAGTGCTTCCTTCTCATCTTTATTAATGACAGCACTGGTGCAGACCTGAATTGAGGTTGTTCTGAGTGATGTATGTGGAAGCAGAGGTGCTCTCTGTGCAGGTTGGGCCCAGCTCCTCTCCCAGGTACCAGCCTGCGAGGGCAGGAGCTGCTTTTGGGTGGTCAGAGCCACGTTCCTGCATTGTGCAGCACAAAGCTCTGCACACTGCAGGTGCAAAGGGCTGGTGGAGCTTTTAGAACACAATAAACCAGACCTGAGGCTGCTGTTGGGCTCGTTTGAGGGGAGGAAATCAGAGCTACCACACTGAGCTGATAAGGGTGGTCACACACAGCCCCGGAGCCCAGCTGAGGGATGAGGTGTGGAATGCTCTGGGGGGCTCTGATGGTGCTGCTGGGGGTCCCTGTGCCCAGCCTGCATGGATTAGATCCAGATCTGATCCAGACACCCAACAGCTACAGTCTCCCTGCCCCGTGGTGGCCAGAGGGGTTCCTGGCTGGGTTGTACCTGCTGGTGCTTGCAGACACCATCCAGCAATTCCCATGCAACCTCTAGGACCATTTTTACCCCTGGATGTCCCTTCTGTTCGTGTTCCCAGCAGCTGTCTGGGACAGGAGTGGGGTGGCAGAGGGCTCTGCTGCCATCCCCCTTGCCAGGTGCCATTCCCTGGGAGCAGTGCCCTTGGAGCAGACATTTCAGGGCTGGAGGTGAAGGAGGCATTTGAGCAATTCCTGGTTGGTGACACAGCAAGGAGCAGTTCCCAAAGCTTATGAGACCTATGTGCTGTGTGAAGGTTAATATGGAAACACTCCGTGTCTGGGAGAACATCCAAGAGCATTCCTCATTCCTGTCCCTGTGCCCTGTCCATGTCTGTGCTGGCAGCTCCAAAATCTCTGCACTTTGCTGAGTGGAGCTGGGAGCTGGAAGCAGGAGGTGCCCGTGGCTGTGTGGAGCTCTGTGTGCCTCTTGCCCCAAGAGCCCAGCTGGGTGGGCAGGGAGTCCCAGCTGTGCCCAGTGCTGGCAGGGCACTGTGGGGTTTCCTCCAAAACCCACTGGGAGGGTCTGGGATTGTCATTTGGCTGCTGTGGGAGTGATGCCCTGTTCAGAAAGGCAGCTCTGATTTCTCCAGGCAGTCAGTCCCTCTGTTCCTGGTAGCTTTGGCATGAGTAGCATGCACCTTTCCCATGGGACACCTGCTTCAGCTCCTCATGTTCTCAGTGAAGGCACAACCCCTGGTTCAGGAGAGGTGTTGGGACTTTCTGTCGTTCCTGTAAAAAGCAGGCAAGAAACTTCTGCTTATAGCCAGGAAGGAAAGTCCCTGTTGTAGGCAGTTTTACTTTCAGGCAGAATGGAAAGAAATCACACCAAAAAGAAAGAAAAAAAGAGCAATTTTCTCCCCTTGGTGCTGGGGTTGAAGCTTCCCCCGCAGTGCCAGGCAGCTGCTTCCAGCTTTCCATGAGGTAACGTGTGAGCGATTTTGTGGTGGGGTTTTCTCCTCACACACTAATTGGCTGTGTGGGACGTTTTATGGGGATTTGGAAACTTGCTGTGGGAAGCTGAGAACCTGGCCTGGGACTTTTTGTCAGTTCTGATTGTTAAAGCGAAAGTGCAGAGCTGTGTTTCTGGGAAGTGGCTTTCCTGCCTGTAATTCTGCTGGCCTCCAGCGTTCCAGGTTGCACATTTTAGAGCTTTTATGGAATGTTCTGGGCTTTTCCCTGTCCATGCCTGTTCCAGGCCAGTGTGGGGTGGCTGGAGCACCAAAAGCACTTGAGATAGAGCCATCAGGCACCAGACACCCCACAGCCAGGAGTTATTCCTGCTGGAGGCTCCAGTGGGTTACCCCAGGGAAATGGCACAGTGCAGTGAGTGCAAGAAGGGGATTGGGGAATTTTGTCCTTTTTTTTCCCGCTTCAGTGTTGGTTTTCATCCTTCTGGAGCAATGTGAGCCTCTTCCTTAATTTTTGATTTCCACCCCTTCCTGGGGATGTTGGGACATCAGGGTTCCCTGGCTGGGGGGGACCAGCCTGGGGGTTCCTGACAGACCGTGGTGACACTTGGGTTACATCTCTGCACCTTGCTGGGTGCAGGGGATGGGAGAGCTGCTGTGGATACCTTTTCCTTGGGAAACACCACCCAGCCTCAAGAGCTGCTGGACAAGGGCAAAGGCTTTGCTGGGGGAGGATTCTCTGTTGGCTCAGAGGATTGTGCACATTGGGAGCTTTTTCCACGGAAGGCGTTGCTGCTGGTTTCCCCTGTGGGGTTGTCCAGGCATTTCCTGAGAGAATTCATTCTCCATCTCCCATGGAGAGCTTCCTCTGGAGCATGAAACATAATGGGGTTGCTGATGTCCCTTCCCTGCCTGCAGTCGGGAAGCTGGTGGGATTTATCCCCTTGTTTCTCAGGGATGCATGCACTCTACTGGTGCCCTGTGCCTGCTCCTCCTGCCATGCAGGGATTTCTGCACCGTTTAAACCACAGATCTCAAACTCCTGGAAATTGTTTACTGACCAGTGGAGGCAAGGAGACCCTTTTTGTGCCCTGCTGAGGGTGAGTGTAGCGTTTGATGAGCCCACATTAGACATCAGAGAATCCTGGCATCTGGAGGTGTTGGGGTCTCTGTCGCTGGTGCCTGGGGCTCAGGCTGAACAGGGTGGAGGGTCTCCAGGCAGCAATCCCCAGGCTCAGGCTGGATTCTCAGTGGAGGCTGTAGCCAGGGATGTGTGCTGGGCTCAGGTTCCATCACCCTGCCCGACAGTGAGGCTGCTGAGAGGTGACAGGGAGGGCTGGGAACACGGCTGGAATGGGTGACCCTGTGCCCAGGAGTGTTTGCCTGCCCGGCCTTTCCTGCACTTCCCTGGGAAAGCACGTCCATGGGAAGGGTGGGAAGAGGAGGAAGCTGGCTGCTGGCTCCCTCTGGGACAGGACACTTGGAAACCTTTTCTGTGACAGCACTTCTACATGAGGAGGGCTCAGCTGGTCAAAGCCCCCCTCCTCCAGGGGGCTTCTCCGTCTTCGAGGGGCTCTGGGGTGATGCAGGACTTTTCCACAGCAGGCAGAGCCTGAAACCCGGCTCCCAAAAAGGAGAGGTGGAGGTTTGGGGCCCTGGCCCCCTGCCAGCCCATGCACGGGGGAGGCAGCGGAGGGAAGGAAATGTCGTGTTCTGACTCCGCATTTCCACCACGGTGATGGGTGGCTGAGCTCAGTCCTGCACAGAGCATCCTGCTGCAGCCCTTGGCCCGGGCTGCTCCCGGGCTGCTGGGGTGGCCGTGGTCACGCTGGGTGTCACAGGCTCCAGCCTGACCCCAGTCAGTGCCCAGCCATGCTCTGGTACCAGCTGAGCCCTGCTGTGGGCAGGGGTAAGCTCAGCCACTGCCCTGCTCCTGCTGCCCTCCACCAGACCCATCCCTGGGGCAGGATCCATGGCACAGGTAGGAGGTTGCTGGTTTTGCTCATGGCTGGGGGCACACGGAGCTGCAGTCGCTGGGATTGACCCCATGGAATTCCCATTGGGATGAAGGGGCAGCAGAGTGGGGCAGGGGTGGGAAACTGGCAGGTCCATTGGCAGGGGCTGTGGGAAATGTCTGTCCCTGGTTCCTGCCCACTCCAGGAGGGTGGGAGGGATCTGTGTCCAGAGCTGGCATGGCCAAAGAGCATTCCCGGGGACCACCAGTCTTGGTGCCCTCCTGCTGGACAGATGCAGCCATGGGGTGCCCTCCCCACGGGCTGCTGGGTTCTTTGGGAGGGATGTGCTGCTCCACATGGACCAGCTGACCCGGGATAGCTCCAGGGTTGAACTCTCCACTGGGATTGCTGGGTCTGAGCCCTGTTGGGGGCAGGAGGGGTCAGCCCTGGGTTTTGGCAGGACTCATAGCATGGTTAATGACAGCTGTGCGGTTTGGACCCAGATCCAGATGATCATTCCAAAACTTCTTCCCAAAACTTGCCAAGTGTTTGGGTCCGGGGTTTTGGCTTGGTCGTGTCCTGAACTGAGTTGCTTAGTTTTTTGGTTTTTTTGCTTTTGTAAGTTTGGAATTGGGAATGCAAGCTGTAGCCAGAGCTCTGGGCTGAGGCAGTGGGTGGATGAGGATGGAATCAGGGTATTCCAGTGCTGGGTGGGTCTGGCCTCAACCCAGTCTGTGCTGGGTGGTGCCTCCAGGAGGGACAGACCAGACCCTGAGGCTGCCAAGGCATTTTCTACGCTTGAGGTCACCCTCAGCAGCAGAAATGTCATCAGGCCGATGGGTGCTGACATTTGGCAATGACTTGCTGTGGCTGCGGGAGCTCTGGGCTGATTTCCCTCAAGTTAAACGGGAGGAATTTCCCAGGAAATGCTGCCGGCTGCTGAATGGGCTCATCTGCGTGATGGCTGATCCCTGTGTGAGGAGTGGGAGCCAGCTGGGCGAGGGGTGAAGAACCCCACCAGGGATTTGGTGTCCACTGGGATGAACACCAGCTTGAAAGAAGAAGTGGGGAGGGCTGGGTGGTGGGAAGGAGGTGGGGAGGAAAGGCTCCTTTGGCAGCCTTTGCTCGGGGATGTTTGCAGAAGTGATCAGCACCGAGCTTTGATGAGCTCTGAACTCATGATTACAAAGAAAGATCTTCCTCTCCTGCCTGGCCAAAAATTGTGTTTTGTTTGGTGCGTTCAGAAACCAAACGTTTCATCAGAAGGTTAAAACTGCTTCTTATAGCCCTGTCATTTGGGTGGCATCGCTGTCACCTCCTGCTCTCTGCCTGGTACTGGCAGAGAGTGCAGCTGAGCTGTGTGTGCCCACTGCTGGTGGGACCCCTGGCTCTGCAGTTGTGCCTCTCCTTTGCTCTGTGCACATGGACTGTGGGCTCGCTGTCAGGGCACTGGGGGAGTGGGCTGTGTTCTCGTGGTGTTGCTGCTGCTGGTGGAATGCTCAGGTGATAGTGGTTAGATTTTTTTTTTTTTACTCAGGATTGAGTGCTCAAGAGACATATTTCTTGTTCAGACTTGGTTGTTTATTAAATTTTATTTTAAGTACAGAGAGTTTTTTTAGGACTTTCAGTTATCAGGCCAAAAGCGAGAAAATGGAGGTGAATTTAGTTAGTTACAAGGTTTTTAAAATGCTAATTATTTAATTGAAAACTATAATTTATATTATTTAAACTTTTGACCTAATAACTGAACACTTGTGACCCACACTGCAGGATTTTTTGTCCGACCAAAAACTACTACCTGAAATCATGAAGAAGAAGAAACAAGAAGGAAGAGACAATGCTTAAGAATGTCCATTTTGTCCCATACCTATTACTATATTCTAAAACCCTAAATTCAAAACTTTTTACCATGCGAAATTACACGCTTTTATTTTAACTACACACTAGTGATTCGAACTTTATTACTCAAATTTGGAAGCCTTCTCCAAGGCTTCAAGTGTTCTTTTGGGGATTGGTGTCAGAAAACACAGAAAGTTCAAAACTCCCAGGCTTCAGGGTTCCAACAGTCAGGCTGGTTCTTTGCTTTCTTGCAGAAATTGAAGCCAAGAAAGCGTGTGACTGGCTCCGGGCAGCAGGATTCCCCCAGTATGCCCAGCTGTACGAAGGTGAGAGCTGCCTCCTGCCTCTGACCCTGCTCTGTACCTGCTCAGAGCCTGTATCTCATCCAGATTCCAAGGGGGGCTTCAGGATAGGTAGGGACAGAAGGGATTGTTCACTGATTATGTGATTGTTTGTTACACTTTGAGCCCTTGGCCACGGCCTGGAGAACCAGCCAGTTAACTTCCCTGCATTCCTGAACTTTTCCCCTTCAGGCAGGGCTCTGAGGAATCCTGGGGAGGCTGCTTTGGCCAAGGGCAGCCAGGCTTTGGAGAGCCATCAGCTCTGAAGTGGTTCAGGGAGTGTTTGCCGTGGGTGGGAGCATAGGGGCAGCCAGTGTAGGAAATGTGGAGAGCCAGCATGTTCTCCCTCCTTCCATCCCTCCCCACTCCCACAGCCCTGCCCTGCTCCAGCTTGTCCTCCCTGAGCCCTGCCTGGAGCACACCATGTGCCTCCTTTGCTATTCCTCACTCGCAGCTCCTGTGCCAGGCGCCCAGGGCGATGGCAGGGTGGCTGCAGTGGTGGTGGCTCTTGCCTCGGGCTCAGCTGTGTTTATTTTGGAGCCATGGTGGGATCCTGGTGCTGGCTGGGGTGAGGAGCAGTGGCTGCAGCCAGCCCCGCCGGGCTGGACAATAGCGGGAAGCGGGGTCCGGTGGCCGCAGCCGTGGCCATTGTTCGGCCATTCGGGCACTTCCCCCACCCCCTGCAGCACCAGCTCCCTGGTGATGGCTTTATGAGCAGCCTGTTTGCTGCCAGTGACTATTTTGGGGGGCAGGTCCCACGTGCAAGGACAGCCTGGGTTCCTGCTGGGACCCCCAGCCCCAGGTGCTGGCCCCAGACAGTGCTCACAGCTGGGCAGCGAGGAGCGGTGCTGCTGCTGGAGTGTGTGAATGAACTTTTCTCCAGCCTCTGTCCACAGAACTTCCCACATCCTCCCAGTGTTTCCCTCTGTTTCCCTTCCTGTGGTGATCACACTCCATGGCTTCATGAAAAGATGGGTTGAGAGCCTTGGGGCTGAAGGTCCAGGTCCCACAGGCATGATCCCAGCAGAGCTGTCTCTGAATGCACAGGGATGAGCAGGGAACTGAATGGAGGCCCTTGGGCACCTTATCACCCTCACCTAATGCACCTGGGAAGAGCCATGCCCAGGGACCCTGGCCATGCACCACCTCCAGGTCATCTCCAGCCACTTGGGTTTCTCCTCCTTTTCCCATGCCCACTGCTGCCCTTTGGCCCTGATGGAGCAGCTGGCTCGGGATCTGCCACTGATGTCACTTCCCTCCCCAGAGTCATCATTCCCTCTTGACATCAGTGCTGTGAAGAAGGACCACAGCTTCCTGGACCAGGATTCCCTCAAATCCCTGTGCAGGTAATGCTCCCTTGCCCTCCCCTGCACATGGAATCAGACACAGACAAGGGCCGTGGCCCAGGCTGATGGAGTGGTGGGCTCAGGGGCATGCCTGATGGGGCTGTGGGCTTAGTAGGGTGCCTGCCTTGCACCTTGGCTGGGCTCAGAGCCTGCTCCAGCACTGTCACTCCCTCTGCAGTGAGAATTCAGTCGTTCAGATCAGGGAACATCGCTGGTGTTGACTGGTTCCAGGGAAACTAGAGGTTTTTATGCTCCATGTGATGCAGCTCATCCAAGTACCAGGAAACCAGCGTGGCTGCACATTTCCACCTGGGCACAGCTGCAGGTTTGGGAGCTGTGCAGGGAGCAGCATGTGGGGGACTCAGGCAGAGCAAGCCAGGGCTGGCACCCAAAGCAGGGCACTGACCAGATGGTCAGTCTGGATGGGCCATGTGTCACTTGGTGCTGCGGGTGACTCAGCCCTGCCTTGGCTCTCGAGACACGTCATCACACCCATGTCCCTGCACTGTCCCTCCCATCCAGAACAGAGAAGAGGCAGGGACGGGGTCTGTTTCCTATTGGTTTCCCAGCAGAGAGGCTGTGCTGGGCAGGAGGAGATCCCCGTGCCGTTTCCTGGGTGCAGTGAGGCAAGAGGTGATGGGAAGTCTCTGCCTGTCCCTCCTTCTCTGAGTTTTCAGGTCCTTTAGTCATTCCCTGTCTGGGGCACAGGAGCTTCTGAGGAGATTTTGCTTTAATAGCCTGGAGCAGACACTCCTGCTCACTTGCAGAACCGGTGGCCCCAGCAGCTAGCATGGGCATGGTCTAGCTTGGGCTACCATCTGCTGGCATTGTCCCCTTGTTAGTCAGGTGTCCCTCTGACCGTGGAGCCACAGCAGTGAGTGACAGGTGACAGGCACAGCCAAGCCTATAGGGCAGGAAAATCAAAAGAAGCCAAAGCCATCCCTGTGACCACAGCCGGGCTGGGACAGAGGCTGGGACCAGGGTAAAGCCTCGCTGTTTCTTGCAGGAGGCTGATGACCCTGAACACTTGTGCCTCCATGAAGCTGGATGTTCACTTTCAGCGTAAACAGGTAAGTCCTGGATGCTGGAGGCAGATGAAGGGCTGAGGGGTGCAGGGGATCATGTGCTTGATGGTGGGGCAGTGTCCTGGTGAGCTCGGGGACTGCCCTGGGCACAGAGTGGCTCCTGGAGGCCTCCACTGCCAAAGGATCCCGAGCTGGTTTAAGGGGTGAACACGCTGCTCTCCTCCCCAGCTGGGGCCATGCTGGTGGCTGTGCCCCTCTGAGGTGGGGGAATGTGCCGACCCTCCTCAGCTCCAGCTGATTGATCATCCCCTGTTCTCAATGGCCCACAGAATGAAGACTCTGAGGAGGAGGAGCAGTGTGCCATCAGCAGCCGGTGGGCCTTCCAGAGGGACAGCAAAAGGTGGTCCCGGGTGGGGTCCGCCGATGTCCTGTTGCAGGGCTCGGAGGCCCCGAGCTGCACCATGCGCCCGGTGTCCAGCCGTGAGAGCGTCCTCACAGACCTCAGCACCAACCCCGAGGCCACGTCCCTGCACAGCACGGGCAGTGTGGGCAGCGTGGGTGGCACAGGTGGCACGCTGGGCACTGCGGCCACGCCATCCGAGCCCCCGTCCCCTCTCCGTGCCACTGCCAACGCCTCCAGCTGCAGCCAGAGCGAGGGCTCTGCGCCGGAGCAGCCCTCGGGCCGCGGAGAGGGCTCCAAGGAGAAGCTGAAGAAGCGACGTTCTCGCAGCTTCCTGAAGAGGATCGAGTCTCTGCGGAGGAAGGACAAGGAGAAACCCAGCCCAGACAGGAGGGTGGCTCCACACGGCAGCGCCACTCTGCCACCGGGATGGGGCTCTCTGAAGAGTAACGGGGACTTTGGGGCCACCAGGACCAACTCCTCCAAAAGAGGGATCCCTGCCTCTTTCCACAGCAAAAAACACTTCTTCTCGGTATCATACAGGACTAACCGCCTGCTCGGCCCCGGGGACACCAAGGGGAGCTCTGACCCCAAACGCAGTGGAATCTACCTGGAGGATTACGACACAGCCGCTGCTGCCGAGTGCCAGCGCCGGGCTCGCCATGGCGACTGCCTGGTCTATATCCCCTGTGACCACAAGCCCGGCACCTTCCCCAGATCTCTCTCCATCGAGAGTTTGTGTCCCCTGGCCGGCAGCTCCCTGAGCCACTGGAGCGCAGGGAGCGGGGCCGTGGGGCTGGGCGGGGGCGGCAGCAGCAGCAGCGTGGAGGGCTCGTCCTCGCCCAGGGGCTTTTCCCGCCGGCGCCGGGGCTCCTGCAGCTCCCTGGGCAGCCGTGTCAGCGTCTACGACAACGTGCCGGAGTTCGGCAGCAGCGAGGATTTCTGCAAGGACGGGGAGGTCACCTACGAGAACCTCGACGACATCCTGCAGCACGTGTGGGGGCTGCAGCAGAAGGTGGAGCTCTGGTGTAAAGCCGTCTCGCCTGGCCTGGATGGGGAGGAAGGGGGCGAGGAAGAGGAGGATGAGGAGGAGTCGGACTCGGGAGGGGAGCCCTCCAACCTGCATTTCGAAGAGAGGTCCATGTCGGATGTCGGCACCTCTGCCAGTGACTTTGATAGCACTGGGAACTCCCTCAACGAGGCTGAAGAGATCGAGACACGGGAGCGCCGGGATTCGGGGGTGGGAGCATCACTCACAAGACCCTGCAGGTATCACGGAATCCCGAGGTGGTTTGGGTGGGAAGGGACCATGGGGACCATCTCATTCCACTCCCTTTGCTATAGACAGGCACACTTTCCACTAGACAATATAGCTCCAAGCCCCGTCCAGCCTGGCCTTGAGCTCTCCTAGCGACGGGGCTGCTGCAGCAGGGAGGGGTGCACAGCCCATGGGTCTGGGGAGCAGCCCCTGATGCCGTTCCTGGGGGGGCTGGATGATCATCTGTTCCCGGGGGGAGGAGGGAGGGAGGGAGGGCAGTGCCGCCGGAGCCGCACGGTGCGGGCAGGGGAGCGCAGCGCGGGGCGCTGGTGCGCTCTGGTGGCCGCAGGACACCACTGCCACCACTGCCTGCATGCACAGACCCGTGATTAAAAGGTTTTTCATTAATTAATAACAAGCATAAAGTTTGGGGGTACGTGCCTCTCCTGTGCCGGTATTCCCTGGAGCTTTCCCCAGGAGAGCTACGGTTGTTGCTGCATTCTGTGGCTTTCCTCGCCCAGTTTGGCTGGTGCCAGAGGGTGATGTGGCAGTAATGAAGGAGTGGAGAGCAGTGGGGGTTTCCTTACCTGGGAATGTCTCGTGTGTCCCCAGAAAGCTGCGTTGGCACAGCTTCCAGAACTCACACCGGCCCAGCCTGAACTCGGCCTCGCTGGAGATCAATCGCCAGTCATCAGCCCAGCTCAACCTGCTCCAGAAGTGCTCCCTGCTGCGGCTCACAGCCATCATGGAGAAGTACTCTGTACCCCACAAGCAGGCCTGGACCTGGTGAGCTGGGGCGAGGGCGACCAGGAGGGGGCCCACAGGCTGCAGCTCATGCTGTGACCCCAGCTGGGGCAGCTTTGGGGTGTGGTGGGGGAAAACCTAAACCAGAACTGTCTGCTCTGGCAAGTGTGAGCTAGAGCTGAGCCCCAGGCTCCTGGCATCATCCTGGCTTCCAGAGGGGCTCCTGGCATCATCTGCCACTTTGGTGGCTGCAGGTGTTCGTGGAGCATTGTAAGCCCTGCAGCAACATAAAAGAGTGGGACAGTGGTTTCTTTTCATAGCCAAATATTAAAATATTTTAGCTTAACAAAAGGTGCTGCCATTCCTGCTGGGAAGCTGCCTTGCTTGTATTCCAAATACTGCAGAAATGTGTGTGTGTGTGTTCCCAGGGTCCTGCTCTCTCTCAGGGGGTGCTGAGACCACTGATCGTTGCACTGATGTCTCTCTGTCGCACTCTGCAGGACTGTCCCCAAGTTCATGAAGCGGAGTAAAGTCCCTGACTATAGGGACAAGATGGTTTTTGGGGTGCCCCCCATCGTCAACGTGCAGCGAACAGGGCAGCCCCTGCCCCAGAGCATCCAGCAGGCCATGCGCTACTTACGCAGCCAGTGCCTGGACCAGGTGAGTGCAGCAGCACTGCGATTTGGGGGAAAAAAGCTTTAGGGGTCCTGGTGTTCATCTCTTGTGGTGTGTGCTGAAGTGGGAGGGTGGGATTGTCTGTGGGAACGCTGCAGCATCCCTCACTCAGTGTCTTCTCTGGGTTGATGATCCCCTTGGGGAGGGAGTGTCGTTGCCTGTCCCACAGTGCCCACCCCCTGCTCTGCCCTGGCAGGTTGGCATTTTCCGCAAGTCCGGGGTGAAGTCCCGGATCCAGGCGCTCCGGCACATGAACGAGACCAGCCCTGACAACGTCAACTACTCGGGGCAGTCAGCGTACGACGTGGCCGACCTGCTGAAGCAATACTTCCGTGACCTGCCCGAGCCCATCTTCACCAGCAAGCTCACTGACACCTTCCTGCAGATCTACCAGTGTAAGGGCGGGGCTGGGGGCAGCTCGGGGTCATCAGGGAAGAGGGGTCCCTCTGTTTGGATGGAGGGGGTGGGTGGTGGCCGTGGGGACACCCCACTGATTGCCACCCCGTGCCCGCAGTCGTGTCCAAGGAGCAGCGGCTGCAGGCGGTGCAGGCTGCCATCATCCTCATGCCAGATGAGAACAGGGAGGTGCTGCAGACCCTGCTCTACTTTCTGAGCGATATTGCCTCGGCTGAGGAGAACCAGATGACAGCCGGGAACCTGGCTGTGTGCCTGGCCCCCTCCATCTTCCACCTCAACGTGTCCAAGAAAGAAAGCACATCACCCAGGTATGGGCAGGCTGAGCCCCAGCTCCCCAGTGCCCCTTCCCTGCCCGCTGTGGGAGGGGGCCAGCAGGGAATGGTGAGGCATGGGGGAGCTGCTGGCTCTGCTCTCTGACACAAATGAGAGCCATGGGGGGTCTAGAAGTGCCCACTGGTGCCAGCACTATCTGATCCCCCACAGGGCCATACACAAGAGGGGCACCATGGGGAAGCCGGACCAGAAGGACCTCAATGAGAACATGGCTGCGACACAGGGGCTCTCCCACATGATCACTGACTGCAAGAAGCTCTTCCAGGTGGGTGGCAATGGTGTCCCAGCCCAGTGGGAGGTGTGACCTTACCAGCAGGTGCTGGTCCTGGGGCGAGCTGAGGGACCCTTCCCTCAGTGGGACAGCAGCCACCAGCCATTCACCCTGGAGCCAAGCCCAGCTGTGTCCTGGGGCAGGAGGTGGTGCAGGCTAAATGCCCGTTCTCCCCACTCCCTGGACAATGAGTTACGGTTCTTCGTCTGTCCAGGACCACTCACAAAGTCCCCACAGGATCTTTCTGCCTCACTGAACATCTGTGTGCTTTTGGCTTGCAGGTCTCCCACGACATTTTGCTGCAGCTGAGCAGCTCCTATATGGCTGCAGATGCCTATCCCCACCCCCTGGCTGACTTGGTGTGCCAGGGGGAGAGCAAAGATTTACACTCCTACTTCGAGCAGAGTGTACAGAACCTGCTCAAAGAGTCGTCAGAGAAATTCAAGGGGTGGCTGAGCACGCCAGGACCCCTGAACACGGAGCTGTCCTGCAAAAAGGTAAATGCCACTGTGTGCAGGGGCTTGAGAACATGCAGGGAAATCTGTATGGGGTGACCTCTCCAGTAGCCAGAGCAGATCCCACCCCATCCCTCACTAGCCAGCAGATGGGACTGTGCTGCTCTGTGGCAGTGGGAGCCATCAGTGAAGCTGCTCAGGAGGGTCCTGTGGGACAGTCTGTGTGACCCTCACCTCGTCCCCTCAGGTTGGGGACGGGCACCCTCTGCGCCTGTGGAAGGTCTCCACGGATGTTGAGGCCCCTCCTGCCACGGTGCTGCACCGGGTGCTGCGGGAGCGTCACCTGTGGGACGAGGACCTGCTGCAGAGCAGGGTGGTGGAGGCGCTGGACAAGGACATGGAGGTGTACCACTACGTGATGGACAGCATGGCCCCGCACCCGCGCAGGGACTGCATGGTGCTCCGGTGAGGGCCGGGGGGTTTGGGCTCGGTTTGGTGCATCCCCATCTCCCCCTCTGTGTGGGATCCCCCACTGTTTGATCCCACAGTGACTCCTGTCTGTCGCAGGCGCTGGCGCACGGACCTGCCGCGGGGAGCCTGCCTGCTCAGCTCCCTGTCGGTGGAGCACGACAAGGTGCCAGTGGAGGGAGGTGTCAAGGCCATCGTGCTGACATCCCAGTACCTCATCGAGCCCAGCGCCATGGGGCGCTCCCGGGTGACCCACATCTGCAGGGCTGACCTCAGGTAAGCTCAGGGACCCTCTGGGGAGGGGATGGAGCAGCAGGATGTGCTGCTCCATGATGCTGCCACGATCTCTCCTGCTCACTCACCTTCCCTTCCCTTCCCTTCCCTTCCCTTCCCTTCCCTTCCCTTCCCTT